CATGGTAACCTCTTTAAAAGATACCCTCTCCTCTTTAACAAACCATTTTCCGTCTCGGACCACCTGTCAACCGGGAAGCCTCTCTTCTCTTTCTTTTTTTCCCTCCTTCCTTCTGTTCCTTCCTCCCTTCTCTGATCCCTTCACCTTTAGCTTCTCCCTTCAGCTACTGGACTGATAGATACCTCAATAACCCCTGGACCCTTGCAGCGAGAGCACTTCTAGTTGACCTTTTCCTACATGGTCAACTTCATATACGAACCAATTCTTACAACCACTTTCCCCGGAATCTTCCCTCACAAGGAGTAAAAACACGAAAATCCCAAAACCACTCAAAAAAATTCTACTCCCTCCACTTTCAATTGACTTTTCTGTAAACGCCCGAAACCTTGACCGTAATGTCAACGGAATGATTAATAATTGTTAAAAACTATGCACGAGATGTAAGGGAGGTTGGGGTTAGGAAGCAAAACCGATAACGAATTCCTTCTCCTCCGCCTCCTCTTAAAACGATGAAGAGAAGAAGGGAATGCGATGTTTCGTGACTTGCCCTCACTAATGAGCAATCCCGTATCTATCCAGTAAAACAAGAGCTATCTTTGGGGAAACTCCTTGTGGTGTTTTAGTGACATTCCGAAGGGTACCTGCACTGCTGAGGAAAAATGGTAACGTTGACAATGTACTGTGAAAGGCCAAACATCCGGAAGCATGAATATCCGAATGCAAAAGGAATCTAAAAGTGAAGTCTGAGATACCCTATAAGCCTGTTAACAGATAGGAGAAACCAACTCACCGAAACAGCCTCTTTCTCGTGAAAGACAATAGCTCTGCACGGCCACAACCATTTTCCTTCACGTAACATTCGGGTGGAATCATGACAGTAAATATCTTCGGCATCGGGAGCATGCAGACATTGTAGACGTATAGTGACAGATTCAACATGATCGTATATTACGGTAGAAATATTTAATTCTATGTGGGGCAACCTGGAACGAGTTAGACTGAGGAAGTAGGCAGCCCTTCAGTTCTAAGGATTCAAAAACACCCTAATTACTACTATAACTTGAATGCACTCACACATTGTTGTTATCAATTCGAGCAACTGGAGTAACGCTAACTGAAACTAAACCAGTAGGACAAGGAGGATAATCATGGTCGGCGTCTGAAATTTTGTTCTCACATAAAACGCTGACAATTTAAAAAAAAATGTTTAAGCAATACCAAACGGTGAAGTTTCTTCATAGTTTTCCACACATTTCTGTGAAGTATCCATAATGCTATACAAGGAATCAGAAGCTCTAAAATTTTGATCGAAGCTGATTTTCGTGCTGTTGTAACATCGATCAGAAATGGTCAGTCGTAGAAAGATAAATAGTAACAATAGAGTGCTTTCGAATAATACAAGCCTGATGCAGACTAACATTTTGCAGCGAATTCCTCTAGGAAGAAGCCTGAAAAAAACACATATTAGCGAGAATTTACAGTTACTCGCAAAAGCTTCCTCAGGGAATATGGGAAGTGATCGGAATTCCACGCAGCTGTCCTACTCTCAAGGGAGTGTAGTCCACACTTGCCCCACATTTCTTATCCTGCACTTAATGTCTTCTTTGGGGGAACGTTTCTTCTTGTTAGTCACAGCTTCTGACCATCGAAAGTTTCTGCGCTTCGTTCCACCGCAGTTTCTGCTCCTTAGCCTCATTGACGCGCACTTTGGAATGGCGTAAGAGGCTCACTTTTAGTGGGTGCGGAACTGCTGCAACTTGCACACATACGGGAGGATTAATGTAAATCAACAGAGCCCGATTCCATCCCAGAGAGCGGCTACACGAATACAGCGCTCAAATCTCACACGAAACCGTTGGAAGAGCATGGTTACGACCACTTTATGCATCCCCCAAGTCGTGCTGCTGCTGCAGAAGTGGGGTAGTCATGCTGCCAACAAAAAAAAATATCACGACTTAGGTTTTAAATGTGTGCTTTTTGTGCTAAAGCGCACGTATAAGCCATTAGTTTTGAGTGGGGGATGCATAATGTGGTCGTAACCATGCTCTTCCAACGGTTTCGTGTGAGATTTGAGCGCTGTATTGTAGCCGCTCTCTGGGATG